AATAATTGATACAGATAAAAATGTTATTCAGAGATGAATATAACACCTACCCCGTCATGATATCTATCCGAGCATGCTTTCCATAGATAACATTCCTACCCGGGCATACTTTCTACCCACAATGATCTATTTTCAAGAAATTTGTCCTAACCGCATGGTATCTAGTTCGCATGCTTTATTCGGAAAAAAAATATATTCTACGAATTTAAAATAAAAGGTAAAGTTTAGAGCCGTTCCTCCTTCGTGCACACCTATTTTGGGTACCTGCTTACGGAAAAAGGTTCGATATAGCTATACCTAGGGTGACCGTTCTACGGTTCACTATATGCATGATTTCAGCTTTAACAAGAAAAGGGAACTCGAATTGTCCTTGATGTCGGTGCCCCCGTGGGCTGCCAAACCCTCGATCCTCACCCATTACAGGTTTCGAACGGAACGAGTTCAATTCGAGGGGATTCACTGCCTTATACCCATACGAGGAATAAATCCCTACGAAGGTATAAGGTATGTATCCCATTGGTTATTTGCTAAAACTCATACGAAGAATAAATTCTTACGAGAGTAAAGCATTCACCCGAACTAATTTGGATCGAAGCTCATGTCTAGAACTTATGTTATGCAAATGCAGTGATGTGTGTGAGGAGGAACATACCTACCTTTAACTCAAAAATGAAAAAGAAATAAAACTCGATAAAACCTGGATCGATCTGAAAGAAAAAATTCAAATGTTAGTATGACGGTTAAAAATGAAGCAATTAAAAACTTCAATAAATGAATCATAAGTTAACTAAAGACTCGAAATCATAATTTCGACCACAACGACAACGTGTAAGCGACCTACAGCTTGACTCTCTAAAAAAGTCTCCAGCGGAGTCGCCAAGCTGTCATAACCATTTTTTTAGGTAAAATAATTAAATATTATTTTAAAAACAGTTATGACTTTAGATTTAAAAAATTGGGGAATTTCGGATTAATTGGATTAAATTGAACAAGGAGTCGCCATCGACCTTTGTTTTAGGTAGGTCAAATACCTAAAAACGTCTTTTTTAAAAATAATTTTAAGAAAAATCATTTTTAAGACAAAAATTATCTGTGTAACCAAAGATTCCATTAAAACGGGTTCGGGAGTCGATTACGTGCGGGGAAGGATTAGCACCCCACAACGCCCAAAATTGGTACTGTGTTGCTTACATGTTGTCGTAAAATGGTGGAAATTACAAATCGAATATAAAGTTAAAAATTGATCCGTTTATTGAACATTGATTAATTTGCTTCGAATCAATTAATTAGAGAAAATTCTTTATTTCGAAAAGAAATCTCGAAATTAGCAATCCTCCAGTGGGAAAGCTAACTCGTCTATTTCTTATCAATAAAAGAATATTCTCTCATCGATAAAATACGAGTCAAATACAAAATGAATATTGACGGTACGAAAAATAAAATACATAACTTGCATTGATCAATATAAAATAAAAATGAATTAACAATTAACAAACTAAAATTGATTTATTTCAAGTTCCATTTAGTTTGAACGCCGTATTAGATTGTACCACTTCGATTAAATGATACTTTCTACGCCCGTTCTACAAATTCACGTTCTTGAAACTATTCGGATAACATTAAAAGTTAAAGAAATGGAAATAAATATAAATAAAATACAAAATAAAACATACACCACAAATAAAGTTAAACATATTATTTTACATATGATATAAAGAAATACATAACATAAAAAGATGTAGATACGATTGATATAAATATAAATCAATATTACAATCACCAAATATAATAATCAAAAGCTAAATAATAAAATTACAAGGACTAACATGGTAAATAATAAAAATAGAGTAAAAATAAAAAATATTAAACATTACAGACACTAAAGATAAAAATAACCCAAAACGAAGTTTAGGACTAAAATGCAATAAAACATAAACATTAAGGCCGAAGAATAATTAAACCTAAATATAACAATGACTAAAATAAAATACGTGAAAATGTCATGACCAGATTCGAATGTCAAAGAAAAAAACACAATAAACTAAAACAATGACTAAAATGAAATAATTACAAATATTAGCTCAAAACAAAGTATTTACCCAAAACACATTAGTGAACAAATAGGGATCAAAATGAACAGTGAACAAATATTAACTCCAAAATAGAATAAACATAAATCATTAATTGATGACCAAAATGAAAACTACATAAAATTAACAGCTAGATATATAAACATTTAAAAAGATATAATACAGGAATAAAATGAATTAAAACTAAACATGAAGACCGACTAATAATTAAACCAAAAGTGAAGCAGTGACTAAAATAAAAATAATTAAAAACATTGAGACTAAAGTAAAACATACATAAACGTGACAAAATAAACAAACTAGTGACTGAAATATAAATATTGAAAAATACACGTCTGAAACAAAACATTAAATATTTCATTTAATGATTAAACAAACAGATTACAAACTATAGGGGACCAAATGTAACATTAACCCCTAAAGTCCAGGACACGGTTATGAGTTTACAAAGGAGAGGGGACTAAAGCCGAGATTAATCCTTTTCTAAAACGCGCTGAAACCCTCTACCCACTGAACGACGTCGTATTAGAGTTGGGATATAATCCCCTTTTAGGGTTATTTAAAACCCTAATATCATTTGTTTCAAGCCCCCAATTCAGCCGTGCTTTCATTTTTCTCTCTGTTTTCCTTCTTCATCATCGAGACCTAAAAAACTGAGGCTCCCCGGCCATCGTATCAGTGGCCATGGGGAGTAAACTAACCCCGAAAGACCCTCAATCTCCCTTCTTCTTCATTTCCTTTGAAACCTTATCCCTAAAATACACTAACCCCAACCATTACCCTACCCAAAACTAGAAAACAAACCCCAAAGGTAAAGGGTTTACCTTCAATATTGTATTATGGTAGCTCCGGTGAGGCCAACGAAAGGTTGGATCTGGCTAAAGGTATCTCCTTCTCTTTCTTTTTTCTCTTTCTTTTTTGGTTCGAATCTGGTATGTTCTTCTCTGTTTTTTTCGTTTTCCCGAATGGTTTCCCCCCCTCCGTTGAATACCCGAAATCCCCCCACTCCTTTGATTGCATATTACATCTTATGGTCTCTTTCGGTGAGATGATAACATCTATTCGATAGGCTTTGATTTCTCTGTATAGCTGTGTGAAAATCCCATATTTTTGGGATTTAGGGTAATTTAAAATGGGTTTCCCTTGATTGATTTATGCCTGTTTTTTTACTGTTGATGTAAATTTCTCCTCACTACAGACTAGAACGGCGGCGTCAATGGGTGGCAGCAGCAGCTGGCGGAGGCTGAGCTGATGATATCCCTAAGGTTAGGGTTTCAGAAACCCTAGGGAACCAGGTCAGGTCGCTAATCGGGTCTGAAATTGGTATTGAGCCTGAACCGGGTCTGGGCTCCAGCTTGTTGGGTCTGTTGGTAGTGGGTTACTGGAGCTTCTGTTGGTTGTAATTGGTGGGCTTCAAGTTTGGGCCTCGGGATTGGCCTGCAAAATGTAACTTGTAATTAGTAATAATAATAATAATATAAATAACGATAATAATAAATAAAACAAAATAATAAAATAAAAAAAAGACCCGGACAAAAACGGGTGTCTACATAATGATTTATCTGTTATACTTTTAAGTCGTACCATTAAAAAAATTGTTAAATAACACATTTCATGCTTATATTTTTTTAAATATGGATATGACACGTGTTACTTAACGAATTTTTTAATGGTAGTCAGATAAAAATACAACGAGAAAACAATAGACATATATTTCTAACGAAAAATTATTTAGACATAAATATCAATTTGATATATAATTTAATCATTTAAAAATGTATTAAATCATTAGAAATTAATATTACGTATGGAACGACTATTAATTGACGCATTCTTTTTAACTGACATCCACGAGATGACATAACGTACCTCCTAATAAAAATTATTCATTTTGCCAAGCATCATCTTTGTCAGGTCATTTTTACCTCTTATAGGCCACCCAGCTTTAAAACATAGGCACATGTAAATTTATATGAATAGATCATGTAGTGTTATGCCATTTGAATTTCCCATTTCAAAAATACAATAGAAAAATATAAGTACAAAAAACTTGTGTTTAAATATAATTTATCTATAACAAGAATAAGTTTCTAAAAAACATCATAAAATAAATTTACTTATATTTAGATTTTTTATTTTTAATCAACACAAATAAGGAAAAACATAATTTTACAAACTTCTTCGTATCCATAATCACATATTATAATAGTTTAATTATGTACTTAAATAAATTTCTTCTTAATCATCTCGGGTCTAATAAAAAAGAATTTAAGCACGCACCCCTAAACTTTGATAATATATCTTCCTTTCTATGATCCCTTGGTAATATGAGGTAGGATACGCATGACCTAAGTCTCATCTATTTTTCTTCTAATAACTCTCGACATCGTTCTCAATGTGAACCATCAGTATCTTCCATCCGAAAATTGTGTAGGGACAAGGACGATGAACAAATTGTGGAAGCTATTGGCTATGATTATCTTTTTCATATTTAGTCCAACTCCATCTACTAGTATTGTTCTCTCCCATCTAAGCCAAATGAGTAGGACAAATCATAGCCCTCTACCGAAAGACCAAATTTCGAGACGCCGGTCACTCTCGGACTAATCATGAATACATGGTCCCAATTTTCCAACAATTGGCTAATTACTTGACTAACACTTTAAGCAATAGTTTGATTCTTTTGGCCGAGGAAACTCGTGGGTAGCTAAACACTTCCCTAAAGTTAAGGTAATTTATTTGAAACACCTTTGAATAGACAAACAAAAAAATCAAAGCCCTAAAATTTCTGCATGAATTCCACTTACCATAATGTAACATAATTTTAATCACACCAAGAGCTGAAAAACAGAAACACGTGGCAAAGATGTTCTGGATGAGGAATAAAACAGACCACAAAGCTCCACTTCAAAAAATGCAAGTCTTCGTGCAGTGCCTTCAAAAAGTGGGAAACGATACAATATACAGTGCATTGAAGCACACATGCAAACCCCACTTCCAAGAATAAAACACAGCACACGTGCCGACACACGTACACAAACGTATACATACATGAACATAAACTTCATATAGTTCCAAAAAATGGCAGAAAAGTCATTTGAAACTGCTTCTCAAGCTTATCGCAGTACTAGTTCTGAGGGTTCGCCAATGGACACTCCTTTGAGAAAAGTGTTGAGTAGGATTCCAGGGTTTGCTTCATCGTGGGGAAAGAAGAAAGCCCCACGTGGCCGTAGGATTTTCCATAGGGATGTGGAGGAAGACGAGTTTCAGTACGGAAGTTCTCATTGTCTGTCGTCTTATTACAGTGTTTTTGTTGCTCGGCTTGCCATCATGGTTTGTAATTTGAACCCCTCCCTAGTCTTTCCTTTTTTTCAGTGAAATAATTGGCCAAAAATCAGAATCGATCACTGGGTTTTGGTTTAATGTCTGTTTGCAGGTCATGCTGGCTATTTTGATCGGGCTACTAACGGTTCTAACATGGCATTTTACGAGGGTTTACACGACAAAATCATTGAACACCTTAGCTTATGGTCTTCGTTATGAGCTTCTTCAACGGCCAATCCTAAGGATGTGGAACATCTTGAACTCTACCTCGGAAATCACAACTGCACAGGTTAAGTTGTCTGAATATGTGATCAGGCGTTACAGTAAACCAACAGATCAGGCAGAACAAATTGAGGTTGATCCTTGAAAACTTAATTCAAGTTTATGAAATGGTGTACTTCGGTTTTCAATCTTTTTAACCCTCTTTTTTTGTTTGTCATTGATTTATTGCAATCTTAGCAGTTGTATCAAATGATGAAAGACATAACATGGGCACTGTTTGCAAGTCGTAAAGCTCTCAATGCCATAACTATAAACTACAGGAATGGATTTGTCCAGGCCTTCCATCGCGATCACCGGAGTAACAACACGTTTTACATCTACTCCAACCTCGCAAACTATTCGATCAGTGATACAGAGTCTTACGATGACAAAATGCAGTCGTCCCGACAAGGTTGGAATGACCAATTCATTCACGGTAATGTTTCTGCAATATGGTACCGTCAACCGCTCGATCCCGTGACCGGCGAGAAGAAAGGGAAGCCTTCGCAAATTCCACCAGAAGATCTTATCAACATAGCAGGCCCTTCTCAAGTCCCTGATGGGGTAGCTTCGTGGCATGTGGCGGTAAGCAAGTATACGGATTCGCCGTTGCTTTCTGCAGCATTGCCGGTATGGGATGCTTCGAATACAAGTATCGTGGCCGTTGTCGGTGTCACCACCGCACTTTATAGTGTAGGTCAGCTGATGAAAGAACTGGTTGAAGTGCACAGTGGGTACATATATTTGACCTCACAAGAGGGTTACCTACTGGCTACGTCAACAAATACTCCTCTGTTAAACAATACAGCAAAGGGACCGAAGCTTATGATGGCGGTTAATTCGGAGGATCGAGTGATAAGAATGGGAGCTCAGTGGTTGCAGAAAACCTATGGCAACAAGTTTCCCCCTGGTCATGTGGTTCATGTGGAGAAGGCCAATCTTGGTGGCCAACATTATTACATTGATTCATTCTTTCTCAACCTAAAAAGATTGCCTATAGTAAGTATAGAATCTAATTCATCTTTTTCGTTTGATCATTTTATCATGTTTCAATCAGATTTTACAAATTAATAAAACCGGTTATGATTCGTGTAGGTCGGCGTCATCATAATTCCGAGAAAGTATATAATGGGGAAGGTTGATGAAAGGGCCTTGAAAACATTGGTCATATTGATATCAGCATCTGTATGTATCCTAGTCATTGGATGTGTCTGCATTTTGATACTGACAAATGGAGTTTCAAAGGAAATGAAACTCAGAGCCGAGTTGATAAGTCATCTTGATGCAAGAAGAAGAGCTGAAGCTTCAAGCAATTATAAAAGCCAATTCCTCGCGAATATGAGGTAATCGATTTCGATATCTTCTGGACCATTGCATAACATCTGTTAGTTAAATTTTCCTTATTTGACATCCTATGAATCTGTTGTGTTACAGTCATGAACTAAGAACTCCTATGGCTGCTGTTATTGGATTGTTGGACATTCTTATCTGCGATGATTGTCTTACAAACGAACAGTATGCAATGGTAACCCAGATCCGTAAATGCTCGACAGCTTTACTCCGGCTTCTCAACAACATATTGGATCTAAGCAAGGTAAGATTCGAGGACATATCAATTATGAAATTGGAACTATCTAGTGAATAGAAACTTAGAATTTCTTAAGATCAAATTGTCTCTGATATCAAAATCACACCCTTAAAACATCGATTTATTTCGTAGGTTGAATCTGGAAAACTGGTGCTAGAAGAAGCAGAGTTCGACTTGGGACGAGAACTTGAAGGACTTGTCGACATGTTCTCTGTACAATGCATTAACCACAACGTGGAAACAGTTCTGGATCTCTCCGGTATGACTCAAACTTCTGAGTGAGATAAACCTATATTTCTTTATAATCAAAATGTATGATCATCGGTCTATGTCTATATGAACACACACATTATAATAATGACTATTGTTTTTTCTTATACAGATGATATCCCGAAAGTAGTTAGAGGAGACTCTGCCAGAGTTGTTCAAGTTTTTGCCAACCTGATAAGTAATTCCATCAAGTTCACAACATGTAAGATATGAACATTTGAAATACAAATATCATAGATAAGCAATTCATCAATTGTCATGCTTAATTGTTTCAAATGGCTTTCAGCGGGTCATATCGTCCTCCGTGGATGGTGTGAGAATCCGAATGTGTCAAGTGATTCCGGGAAGTTTTCTCCTGATCAGAAAAAACCGTTGTCTGCATTAAAGACAAAGTTGAAACAACATGGAAACCATATGAAGAAGGCCAGCAAAAAAGACAACAAAATGATTCTTTGGTTCGAAGTCGATGACACAGGATGCGGTATGATTCTTTGTTTCCAAAACAATAGGAATTACTAGTTTTGCAAGGGGAAAACGTTCTATTTTGAGTTAGCTTAGCTTGAACTAATATATCCTCCATGATCTGCAGGAATCGATCCAAGCAAATGGGAATCGGTGTTTGAGAGCTTTGAGCAGGCTGATCCTTCAACAACTCGAACGTAAGTACTTAAGGAAGATCGGAGTTTAATAAAATGGTCAATTGGAGGAAGAAAACCATGGAAAGATTAAGAAATGTGATGTACATAGATTTCTATTCTAAGTTATTTTTTGTCTTTTCAGGCATGGTGGCACCGGTCTCGGACTATGCATTGTGAGAACCTTGGTAAGTGAAGTGTTTTGATAAAGAAAATCATTTGATATCACAATTTTACAATACCATTCAACATATGAACCTACATCATGCTGAAAAAAAGAGGAAATTATAAAGGACAATGATTTTTTTAAATCTTTTATAATCAACTGCATGAAACGATGAATTGCATCGTTCGTTCACTCGTATTATCGATGATAGGTTAACAAGATGGGTGGAGAAATCAAGGTTGTAAGAAAGAATGGACAAGGAACTCTAATGAGACTATTCTTACTCCTCAGTACTCCTGCGGATGGCATAGAACAAGGACGAATCGATTTCGCAAAGCACAGTGTAGCCGTGAGTAAAGTTCGATAATCTCGAGGCCTCATTTTACAGGTTAAGAACAAAGCAACAAATAACAGCTAACATGTTTTAAAACATGAATGCAGGTTATCCTTGCCTTACATGGTAGCATGGGTAGATTGATAATGTCCAAGTGGCTGTTGAAAAATGGAGTTCCCACCTTGGAAGCATCCGAATGGAACGAACTAACACAAATCCTCCATGAACTGTTTCATGCCAGAACTACTAATTCTGCTTTTGACACTCATTATTCACCAGCTAAACCTGTGAGATCTAAAGTACAAACCTTACAAGACATGAAGAACCCGGTTTACATTATAGTTGTCGATCTGGGGCTGCTCGACTTGAGCACCGGCATATGGAAAGAACAGCTTAATTTTCTCGACAAATACTCCGGCCAGGTGAAATTTGCTTGGATGCTGAATCATGATACTTCCAATGCTATAAAGATGGAGCTCCGCAGGAAAGGACATATATTGATGGTTAATAAGCCATTATACAAGGCCAAAATGCTTCATATTTTGGAAGCTGTGATAAAGGAAAGTTGTGTTGAACCTCAAGACAGAAGTCCAAATGTAACAAAAGGTACATTGAAACAAAGTGATTCTCATGAATGTCTAGAAATCGATTCAACTCAGTTTGAGACTTGCAGCTCCGATGAATCTGATATTTCTGAAATGACCGGCGCTAATTCTGTTAGTTCTGCGCGTACTGGAGAGCAACCGAAAGAAGGAACCGTACTAAAATCCAGTCCACCAACACTTAGGAACTGCCTAGTTGAGTTCACACGGCTAGGCTTGGAAGCGAACAATCTAAGGACAGAAGAAGATGAATGTAATGGCAGGTTTAAGTTGCATAACACCAAAGATGTCAAATGTGAAAATCCCGATTCCTCAGAACAACCTTCGTTCACAAGCAATGCTAAAGATAGAGATGATTCATACACAACAAATAAGGCAGCAAATGAACAGAAATCTCTCCAAGGCTTACGGATACTGCTAGCGGAAGATACACCAGTTCTCCAACGAGTAGCGACCATCATGCTCGAGAAAATGGGAGCTGTAGTAGTCGCTGTCGGAGACGGACTGCAGGCGGTAGAAGCCCTCAATTGCGTGCCTGACGGAGACGAATACAGAACAAACAGATTGCAGACAGAAATTTGTGATTCTCCACCATATGATTTGATTTTAATGGATTGCCAAGTAAGAAATCACTTAGAACATATCAACCACAAAAGAATGGTTCATTGCAATTTGCAACCAACTCATGGCATCTAATAAAACTTTTGTTTTTTCTGTGTTTGATGTCAAACAGATGCCAATGATGGATGGATATGAAGCGACAAAAGCAATAAGGAAATCGGAAGAAAGGACGGGTTGGCACATTCCGATCGTTGCGTTGACCGCCCATGCGATGTCATCTGACAAAGAAAAATGCTTGGAAGTGGGGATGGATGCGTATCTAACAAAGCCAGTAGACTACAAGTTGATGGTGTCCACCATTCTTGCACTCACTAAAAGATCTGCCGACCAAAGGCTAACCCAATGAAAAATGTCTTTGGTTTAACATATCTGCTATACATAGGACTATAACCAATTTTCATGTCTCTAATCTTCAGTTTGAAACTGGTTTTATCTACTTGATAGTACTTCCGGTTGGTTTCCCTTTGTTTATGTAATAAATGTATATACTAAAGCACAAGAAGAAGGCTAAATGATCTACGAATAACTTTGAGACCAATATTTTGATTTTTGTCCGCATATAGAAACTGTGTTTAGAATTTATAGAATAAAAAATATATTAAAATTTAACTATGATCTCCTTTTATTTTGACAACCGATCTTTGAATTTTTTCAATCAAATCATCTAATTATTTAATTATTATCAATTGAACCACTAAACATCAATATTTAACAGAAATTCTGATGTAATAATTAATAAAATTAATATAATTATATATTTAATCTACATTACTTACATACTGTTATATTAGTCCTAATTTCAGTTGTAAGTCAAAGTCCAATCACTAGTGAAACGTGTAATGTTAACTTCGTATTACACCAAATAATGATTTTGGCTTTATGGTTGGATGTATGCCAGCTTATCCTAGCGTCCCTAGTTTGTTTCCCATTACCCCATTTATGCATGTTTTATTTTCGTTTAATAAGAGGGTGACACGTGTCATCTCTTATTAATGAAAAACAAATTTATTGAATTAAAATAAATTTAATATTTTCAATCGGATGATGATATGTGTCATTACACTTATTATCAATAACACATGGCATCATTTGATTCGAGGTTAAATTATTAATATATATAATTATATCAAAATTATTTAACTGTCACGTCACTTTCTCGTTAATGTTAACAACAAATGACTTTAGTAACACTTGAATAGGTAAATGATACATAAATTAAGTTATCTTAATGGTTAAAGGGATGATTGTTATCCTTAGAATTTCGTGTTCGAGCACATGCGATTGCATGATTTGAGCATTTATTGTTAAATGATTGAGTATTTGAAACATATATTGACACTTGTAATAACTTTTGAAAAAATAACCTCAGTGACCAAAAATGCCTTATAATATACGATTTTAACCAACTTTTTTTGGATTTGCCAAAATGACCAACTAAATCGCAATGCGATCGATAATTCGCAACGCGATCTCCGGTATCGCAAATCAGTTTCCAGATTCGTAACGTGAACTTCGACTATCGCATTGCGATTTACATATTCGCATTGCGATATTCCAAGTTCGTTGCGATAGTCGAAGTTCGCGTTGCGATTTATTCCAAATTCGTTGCGATTTATTCCAAATTCGTTGCGATTTATTCCAAATTCGTTGCGATTTATTCCAAGTTCGCATTGCGATTTATTCCAAATTCGTTGCGATAGTCGAAGTTCGCGTTACGATTTATTCCAAATTCGTTGCGATTTATTCCAAGTTCGTTGCGATAGTCCAAAATCGCAACGACGGTATTGCATTTGTTTATTAAGAATTTTCTCTAAAAAGATAGTATTCGCGCGGACGTGTCGGAGACACGTATTACCACGACCACGACCACGACCACGACCCGACCCGACCCGACCCGAGACGAGACGGCGGCGGCGGCGGCGGCATGCGAGAGTCCCCCTTGTTCTCTATCACTCAACAAGGAAGTGGGAAAGCCAAGCCTTAAATACCATTCCCAATAGTGTTTCCAATACTATGTGGGATTGAGCATTACCAACACTTGTTCCCAATACTATGTGGGATTGAGCCTTAAATAGTGATATTATTTTTTGAATGTTTTGCTTAAAATTGTAATAATCGCGATTGATTGTAGATTGACATTTAATTATGACATATTTAATCGTATAATACTAATGCAATTGGTTGCTGATTCAGTTGTTTTAAGGTGCATGATTGTTAATTATTTCCTGAATAATCACATTGTATTGGAAACAAGTGTTGGTAATGCTCAATCCCACATAGTATTGGAAACACTATTGAGAATAGTATTTAAGGCTTGGCTTTCCCACTTCCTTATTGAGTGATAGAGAACAAGGGGGACTCTCGCGCGCCGCCGCCGCCGCCGTCTGTCTCGGGTCGGGTAGGGTGTGGTCGTGGTCGTGGTCGTGGTAATACGTGTCTTCGACACGTCTGCGCGAATACTATCTTTTTAGAGAAAATTCTTAAGAAACAAATGCAATACCACCAGTCGTTGCGATTTTGGACTATCGCAATGCGATAGTCCAAGTTCACATTGCGATAGTCCAAGTTCGCATTGCGATAGTCCAAGTTCGCATTGCGATAGTCGACTATCGCATTGCGATTTACATATTCGCATTGCGATAGTCCAAGTTCGCATTGTCGCATTGCGATAGTCGACTATCGCATTGCGATAGTCCAAGTTTGCATTGCGATAGTCCAAGTTCGCATTGCGATACTCGACTATCGCATTGCAATTTACATATTCGCATTGCGATAGTCCAAGCTCTCATTGCGATAGTCGAAGTTCGCGTTGCGAATCTGGAAACTGATTTGCGATACCGGAGATCACGTTGCGAATTATCGATCGCATTGCGATTTAGTTGGTCATTTTGGCAAATCCAAAAAAAGTTGGTTAAAATCGTATATTATAAGGCATTTTTTGTCACTGAGGTTATTTTCTCATAACTTTTTCTTAATAAAAAATAATAGTTATATAATCTAGTTAACAAAATTTGAAAATTAGTGATCTAAATGAAAAAGGGCAAGACTTAATAGTTTATCCTTATTTTTCTTTCTCTTATAGAGTGTTTGAGTCACGAAAAACATCATTGATAGGGGAATAATCTTTTTCAGAATCATATACTCACGTTTAGTTTAGGAGAATTTCCTCCAGGGAGTACTAAAGTATTACCTAGAGTTGTATTTTTTTAGGTTTTTTTTCGGGAATGTCATTCTTCTTGTTTTCTTAAGTATTAATCAATTTCCTCCATTTATGACAAAAAGGTTCTTAAAACAATATGTTATTTCAAAATGATCATTCCTTTGTGCATACATATATTAATATATATTTATTTATTTTTATCTTTTTATTGTGTTTCTAATTTTTTTAATACTTATTATAAAATAATATGATGCATGTAATAAAAAGTAAAAATAGTAAATTTTTATTTTATTTTGATTATTTATTTTGTATGTGATTGATTCAAGTTTATAGAATGAATAAAAAAAGGTAGTAATTAACACATACTTACACCGGAGTAAGTATGTACATCTCTCAATATCTTAACAATTAACAAATACTTACACTAGTGTAAGTATGTACATCTCTCAATACCTTAACATTTAACACATACTTATATTGGTGTAAGTATATACATCCCTCAATATCTTAGTACCTCAAAATAAATACATATTTATATTTGTGTAAGTATGTTTCTATATTTTTAAAGAAATAAGAAATAAAAAATTATATATTAAGTTAATGGGTACAAAATTTATTGAATATATATAATATAAATTATAGAATATAAAATTTTATTTTCTACAAATTTTGTGCGAATATTTTAACTTTAATCTTAAGAATTTAACTTGTTAAAAAATAAAATATATCTCAAAAAAGTAAACAAGTAATACAATATTATTAATATGCTTTTTGTAATCTAAAAATCACCCTAAAAACCATATTAGCACTCTTTCCCCAATATTTACCAAACTAGCACCCATTCAAAAATCGAGATAAGGAGGCGCGTTTCACAAACCGAGCCTTGTTGATGTGACTGGAAGGCATGTTTCCCGCACCGAGCTTTTCTCGAGTTCTAGCTGAGGTGGTACTCCAACTGTAAGGCGTGTACTATGTAGCACGTCTTCGTGGGTATTTGATGAGTGGTTAGGTTTGTATATATTTTGTTGATAATTATTCATGTTTGCTTATTTGATGTTATTGATTTGGTTCTGTTTTGACTCATTTTTAGTGCAGGGATTTCTTTTTCAAAACCAACAGTAAAAAGGTAAAAAACTACAGTTTTTTATTTTTCTGAAATCATGGTTGAAGTCATGGGCACGACTTGGGGCGAAATTGACTTTGACTTGGGGTGAAATTATTTAGGGATTTTAAGTTTGAATTTTTAAGATAAATCTTTGAATTATTATTAGGATATTCTGTTTTATTTTGAATATTTTCTTTTGTCTTTAGAAATCCTATCTCTTGTAATTTTCTAGGCTATAAATACCCTATTAGGATAAAGCTTAAAGAATGTATTGAATTTGATTTTGTTCATTGGGGTTATTTTTATAAAAAATTTCATTTTTCCATTTTTTCTTTTCAATTTAGTTTTTTCTTTTATTTTATTTTAAAAAAATGATAAGTATGATTTCTATCATGCTTAACACAATTTCCATTTAGTCAAAATGCTTAGCGATGACTCAATTTCATTTGTGAGAATTGAAAAGCATTTAACATCTTCGAATAACATTCTCGATTTTCTGAAAATTTGATTTGAAAAATAGTCATCTCTTTAATAATCTTAACACTCTTACTTCAAAAAGACGTCTTTAATTTGAAGGGTGTTTTAATTTACAGTTTGGGAGAAAGAATCAATTGGTTGTAATTCAACTTTCTATGAACAAACTTAGTGGCAATCCGCTAAGGTAAATTGAGACCGGGTTCGATTTTCAGTGAGATGCCATAACCCGAGATGGGCTTTTTCAACACTTAAAGTTGTATTGGTGCTAACGACAATAGACGTGGTTAGTCCAATAAGGATTGAATTATGGAGATAGACTTGGGAATATTAGTTTACTGGAGAGAGAAATAAGTTATAAGGGTTGAGCCTTATAGACTGTAACCGACATATTTATTGAAGTAAACTCTCTTTCGATGTTTAACTAGAACTGAGGCAAAGCAAAGTTTGTGGCTATATCCATCTTATAATATTCTTTTCAAAATCTACTTTAATTTTATTCCACTATTTTTCTAGATTCACTTTTATTTTATTTTTTAACTTTTATTCTTCCATTTAAAAACCCCCTTTTTCTTTTTATTACCCCTTAAAAACATGATCAAAACAATTCGACGTTAGAAGCTCCTTGTCCTTGTGGATAGATCATTCTTCTCTTTACTACATTTTTATTTATCTTATTTGAGAATAAGGAATATTTTATTTGATAATTACAACATTTTTCAATATCCATGCGTCAGTTGGAAGG